GTTTTTAAAATATAAGAACTATAATATCACATCTAAATTTTTTTCTTACAATATACTTAAATGAGGACTTAATACTCATACAGTGCATATGCTTGATTTGTTTTAAAAGTTTTTCATTATATGGTTTTCTCTTTGGAGACACTGTTTGTCTTTGGTGGTCATCATCTAGATCTGCTAGGATAGTAGTTTTCAAGGTTGACCACAGATCTTTGAGGATCCCTAAGACCATATGCCCAGGAGGCCTAAAGATCAAAATTTCTTAAGACTCTTAAGACACTTGCTGTTTTCATTATAGTGAGAGTTTTGATGAGTAAAGCTGCTGGTACCTTAGCATGAGTTAAGGCACCACCAACAAATTATGATCATTCTTAACATACCACATTATTTTCAAAAGTCCATTTCACTTAAAATATCTTTGATAGGTTAATATTTAATTTTAATCCATTAATACATGTTTTCAGTTTTCTGTGGAAGAAGATAAACACAAAGCCCTTTTACTGAATCATGAAATGATACTTAAGAAAAAGCACTTAATGTAATTGTGAGTCACAATTACATTGTGAACTAGTCACTTTTGTTCTATTTGAAAGAATTTTGAGTGGCAAATCAAGGTTGTTCAGACTTGAGTACTTGATAGTATTAGGCTTGTAATGAGGCAGTAGTTGTGAATGCTAAATTTGAACTTTTCAAGATAAAATTGAAATTTTGGGAAACTTGCTTCAGCAGCAATAGCAATAGTAAAAACTTGCCCAGTACTTTTCTAATAAAATCAGTATTGGTTTAACTTAAAATGGTTATTTTTGATTGCCTTTAATGAAATGTCAACCTTTGGAATATATTTATGAATATGTGTGATATATGTATGTATGTATGATAAAGGACTTGAGTAAGGTATAAATCCATGAACCAATAGTAACCCAATTTAAAACTGGGCAAAAGAGTGGGATATAAAACAAACTTGGCAGAGTCTGAACAGACAACTTTTCCAAGTGCCTTTAGCAAACATTTTCAATGATAAATTACTCACTATTCCCTCTGGGTTCAGGAGTGAGCTAAAGTTAACCTATCCCCACCTTTATTGAACATTTTACTAGATGTGCTAGCTAGTTCAGAAAGTAAAATGTTAAGGATTAGAAGGGGAAAAAAGACTGGATTTTTGCAGGGGAATGTCTACATCCAAGAACCCACTTCTAATAAAATTTAGAAAAGTTCTTGGATACACTCAACAAATAAATATGAATTATATTCTTAGCTACCAATTTCAAATATAAAATAAAAATTTAATATTCCTTTGATTACAAGAGACTGGAGAATTTGGGGAGACTTTACTGACAAATTAGTGGGGTGATAGGATGCAAGTCCTGCAGAACCAGACACAGGTGATGCAAAAATCTTCTCTGAGTAGATGCTACATCAAATATCTGCAAAATTTAGTCACTCTAGGTGCCAGGCTCCCTGTTCCAAGAGTCAAAATGAGTGTTCTTAAAACTTACATAGCCTGAGTATATGCTGAAAACCAGCTTCAGCTGAGGTAGTGAGGGTCTCCCACAGGAAAGGACAGAGTCGGGGAAGGAAAGAGAGGGAGAAGGAAAAAAGATGTAGAAAAATGAGACACAGACAACCTTTTCAGGGTGAAAGCATCTTCTGTCAATTGTCCCAGCAGGTCTTTATACATTACAAGCAAGCGGTGAGATTACATCAGTGTGTTCATCAAGCAGAAAGCTTAACAATCATCACATTTTTCTTAAAGACAGCTCAGGACTTTTTGATCTCTTACTGAGACTAATTGCACTAATAAAAAGTACAATTGATACATAAAATATTCCTATAGTGATCAATTATCAAACAATATTCCTGTGGTGATCAGTTAACAATATACAAGATGTTTCTATGGTGATCAGTTAGCTATCACATCTTAAGCAATCATTTTGTTTAATCTCTCAATGAACATACATTTTAAAAGGTACAGGATCTAATGTTAAGGAAAACACTAACACCGAGTGCACTGACATTTCCCTGCCCCTAGGGAAAAAACCCTTTTTTTGATCTATAAAAGGAGCTTCTGTTAATCATTATTTCTGCAATTGTTCTGTCAGCCTAGTCTCTATATCTAACATAAGACTTAGGGGAAAGTTTCTTTCTTCATGGTCACTAATTATCCTATTAATCGTATCTAAAAAAACCTTTCTATGTGAAAAAGTGTTGGGGTGAAAGTTAAAGAGTAGGAAAATTTATTATTTATAATTCTATTACTTGAAACTATGTTACTTAAAACTATAGATATTTTATTGGGGACTAGGCAGGAAATTATTGCAGCCTTTGGTTCCCAGAATTCTTGGAACGTGACATGTCTCTCATTGTGTGACCTAGACTTGTGTGAGCCCTCTCAAGCAAAGGAATATTAATTATTTTACAACGTACTGTGCCACTCTGTGAACAATGCTATTGTTATTGAACCAATCAATCCAAGTAACTATTGATTTTATATTGAATGTATATTTGGGCAATTGCCGTGCTTTTTGGGAAGAGCCAAAAACAAACCATACTTCTTGGAAGTGGCCATAAACAAACTAAAATAATCCAGCAGTATCCAGCTGTGGAATATTCTGACTTTTCAGGATTTGTTCCCCCACTTTAAGACCTTGTCATACAACGTGGTAGCGTGGCCCTCGCCAGGCATATATGTCTATATGTATGTTTTTAATCATTTGGATGTAACTGGTACACATTCTATAGACATCCCAGCACCTGGTTTTTGTTTTGTGGTTTTTTTTTTTAAGATTTATTTATTTATTCATACAGAACTGGGGTACAGGCCAGAGATGCGGAGGGTGAGAGGATTCACCAGAGAGAGACATACTGGGGAGCAGAACAGGCAGATCAACGAAGTACACTGCTGAGGGGAGCAGCGGGTGGGTCAGGAGAGGTCTGCCTCGCCATGTGGTCACCTCCGGGGCAGGCGGGGATAGAACTCATGCGGAAGTGGCTTAAGCTTCTTAGTGCTGTGCTTTAACTCGCTGCGCCACCAGGGAGGGCCGCACCTGCTTTTTTATTTAACCTACCAGTAAATCCAATGAGAAATTGATACTACAAATATACCTACTACATTCTTGTGTGTAACTTTTTAGTTTGCGATAATTACTGATTTACAGAATTGTTGCAAGAATGGTACAGTAAACTCCAGTTTACCTTCACCCAGATTCTCTAAGTACTGGTTTGATTGCATTTGCTTCATATTTGCTTTATCTCTCCCCTTCTTCATGTCTATGTCTGTTGTTTTCCTGAACCATTGGAGAATGTGTTACATAGGTCAGATGACTTTATCCCTAAATACTCAAGCATGTGTTTCTTAAGCACAAAAGCATTCAGAGCCCAACTTTATGAAATCCATAAGATTCAGCATAGACATGAAGCTATTCCTATATATAATTAATATTCACCAGTTCCAGAAGTATTTTATGTTGTCTTTTTTTTTTTCTTCAAATCCAAGGTCCAACCCAGAATTAGGTATATTTTTTGTTTCTCTATTTTCTTCTTAACACAGAATAATTCTCAGCTTTCTTCATTTTTCTTGATATTGACATTTTTGAAGTTTTTCTATACTTACCTCATTTTCAAAATTTTATAATAGTTTATTTTTACATATTTTTGTGATGGGCTTCCCATCACTAAATCACCCATGTGCCATCACCATAGTCCAGTGCATTTCCCTACCCCCCACTGTTTTTGATCCCATTCATCACTCCACCCCCAACAAAATATCTCTGGTATATAGCTGTTCTCATTTTTATTTGATGCACATTGAAGAATAGACACATTAGGTTGACCCCCAAAAGCTCACTGTCTTCCTGTTCCCTTCATTTGTTTAGCTGGCTTAACAGATTCTGAGTTAATTCAAGGAAGAAAAGTTTAAGAGGTCCAGAGGCTCCCTTTCTAAAAGACCACTTCCTAAAACAAGCTTCTATCACTGTTACACTTTCTGACCCCAATATCCAAACAGAGACCTGGGGGCAGAGGTTTCCTCCTTTTATTTTTTAAAGATTTATTTATTTGTTTGTTTATGCATACCGAACTAGGGTACAGGCCAGAGGTGCAGGTATGGTAAGAGGATTCACCACAGAGTGGGGGAGCAGAACAGGTAGATAGACAAAGTACACTGCTGAGGGGAGCAGTGGGTGGGTCAGGAGAGGTCTGCCCTGCCATGTGGATCAGTTCCCAGGCGGGGATCGAACTCACACTGAAGTGGCTTTAGCTTCTTAATGCTATACTTTAACCCACTGCACCACCAGGGAAGGCCATATGTAAGTGATTTTTTAGCACAATTTTCTGTGAAGAAAATGAGAGCTCAGGAGATCTGGTGAGCTCTTCTGCTTTTCAATGTAGACATTCTTTTATGATAAATCCTTTATATTTACCTTATGTGGCAAAAATGTATGTGTGTGTGTACACACCCCTTTGCACAATAGTTGATGACCATGAAAGAAAGATTCCAATCTATCCCAATGCTGTGCATTTCTGAAAGCAAAATTCAGCTACCTCCATCCCCAGAGAGAAACAGCCCCTCGAGTCCTGGGAGAGGTTCAGTCACTGGAAAGGTGCCCAGTATGAGTGCCCAAGGGGCCAAGTTGCCCCAGTTCCACTAACTCAGGAGAGGTACATCTTTTATGTCTGGCTCATACATAAGAGAAACTGACTAATGAAGGAAGACAGGTTTTATGTCCCCTTCATTCTCTGAATTTTTTTTTTAAACAACCAAATAGTATCTCTTGGCAACATGTTAGAATCTTGAGGGTGAAAGGAAAAGATTATGATGTATGGAAAAGTCCAAGCTGGAATGGAGACTGAAGTACAGATGAGATCAGTGTGCAGATACTGAAAGGGGGGGAGAAACCATTGTTGAGCACAAACGGAGCCAAAGCAGAAGGCTCAAAGAAATGACGTTGAAAGGATTAAATGTGTAGTTCCTGACTAGAATCAAAGTCCATTGCTACTCCACTAAGATGACTTCGAGGCGGTCTTTCCCTGCAGATGACTTCCGTGTCTACTATGTCCTGTGAGCTTCTATCTACCCAGCTTTCTAATAAGCTTTCTGATAAGCTCGGTTGGGGGTTATGGGGGGTGGGTAGGGGCCATTCTCAAAGGCCTTAAGGACACATATTTTCAAGGATCTCCTCAGGTTTGACCCATTGTCATTCCCCGAAAGGAAGGGAAGACCTTATTTAATATCTAGGTGATTGACATTCCTAAAGAGTCACAGTCCAGGGCCTCCCACAGAATCAGTAAATAAAAGTGAAAGTTCCAACAGCAAACATTTCACTTTTTCAAAATTATAAGTAGCTTCTTCATGGACACCTTTTTTTTTTTTCTTAGCCTCTGCCTTGTATATCTTTTTTTTTTTTTAATATGTAATAGTTTATTTTTACATCATTTGTGCCTTTTTCCATCTCAGTTGTAACCCCCATGGGTATCCCATCACCAAATCACCTGGGTGCCATCACCACAGTCCAATGCATTACTCTCCTCCCACCATTTTTGATCCCATTCCCCACTCCACCCCCATAAAATGTCTCTGATATATTGTTGTTCATTATTATTTTTTTGCCCCCCTCCTCACCCCAGTCCTTTATGCTCCTGCTATGAGTGAAACCATTTGGAATTTTTCTTTTTCTTTCTGGCTTATTTCACTAAACATGATCACTTCCAGCTCCATCCATGCTGCTGCAAAAGGCATGAGTTTATCTTTTTGATAGCTGAGTAATATTCCATTGTGTATCTGTACCACATCTTTTTAATCCAGTCATCTACTTTTGGGCATTTGGGTTGATTCATGTCTTCCCTATTGTAAATAAAGCTGCAATAATCATGGGGGTGTAGGTGTCTTTTGAATCAGTGTTTTTGATGGAACACCTATTTTTAAACGCTGTACATTAAAAGAAAAATCATCAAAGACATAGACCCTGGGCTCCCTGGTACAACAGTCAGATCACAAAAGGAAGAGCTGTGTGAGATGAGGAGGACTTCTTGCTAGGGCACAGTGTCCCCCGCAGGTCCTGGGCCTTCACATACTCTTATTCTTTAGCTTACTTAAAGGGTATCCTAGCTGTCACTTTTAGAAATTTTTTAGGTTACCATTTACTAACTGTAGTTATAGTGTCACACACCTTGTGCCATTTAATCCTCACAAAAACCTTGTAAGGCAGGGTAGCATTATTCCTATTTTATAGATGGAAATAAATAGGAGCCTATTTATTTGTAAGTAGTAAGAATCAGGATTTAAATGAAGATCTGTGTTTTTACAAAGTCTATATTCTTAATCTTTCTCTCCCTCTATGTGTGTGTATATACTTATATATATATATACAAATAGAATATACACACATTAATCAAACACATTTTAAAGTATTCTTTGAACATGTACATATTGTATTTTCAATGCGCCTCTATGGGATACACACACACAGGTTTTTTTCTTTATAAAGATTTATTTATTTATGCTTACAGAACTGTGGTACAGGCCAGAGGTGTGGTGGATGAAATGATTCACCAGAGACAGAGTGGACAGAACAGCAGAGTGACAACGTACACTGCTGAAGGGAGCAGTGGGCGGGTCAGGAGAGGTCTGCTACGCCTTGTAGTTCCGCTCCCTGGCCGTGGATTGAACTCTTGCTGCAGTAGCTTTGGAGAACTTCATAATGTGGTGCTTTAACCCGTGTGCCACCAGGAGAGCCCATGGTTTTGTTTTGTTTTGTTTTTTAAGATTTATTTATTTCTGCGTACAGAACTAGGGTACAGGACAGAGGGGCAGGTGCGGTGACAGGATTCACCAGAGACAGGGAGCAGAACAGGCAGACGGATGAATTACACTGCTGAGGGGAGCAGTGGGCGGGTCAGGAGAGGTCTGCCGCGCCATGTGGGTCAGCTCCCAGGCTGGGATCGAATTCATGTGGAAGTGCTGTGCTTTAACCTGCTGTGCCACCAGGGAGGGCCCTGTTTTTGTTTGTTTGTTTGTTTGTTTTCCATGTGCTTATTCTTTTTTTTTTTTTAATTATTACAAAAGTTTATTTTGACATCTTTTTGCACATTTTTTTTTTCCATCTCGATTGTAATCCCCACGGGTTTCCCATCACCAAATCACCCGTGTGCCACCACCATAGTCCCATTCCCATGCATTTCCCTCCCTTCCCCCCCCCCCACCCCCCTCAGAACCGTAGGCAAT